CTTTACAATACTGTTATGTCTTTTAATGTGGTCAAAATATTTCACTTGTCTCTTTTTTTATTTCACCTAGCAACTCTCTTTTCATTCCCAATTTCCTCAGTACCTCTGTATTTGATAGCTTTTGTTTCCATGAAATACGACCTAATCTTCTGTATATCCACACCTCCAAAGAATTGATATGATTTTCCAGAACAAGGGATGAATAAATGTGCAATAGTAGCGCTAGCCGTAGCTTTAGTAATAGCAACAGCGTCAGTAGAAGCAGCAGTTACAGCAGCAGCATCAGCAGCTTCAGTACTTGCAGCAGCAGAACAGTAGTCCCTGGTATTAATAAACGGGTTTCAAATGAACACTCCTAATAGTATAATTGTTACTTCATTTTCACTCCATATTTTGTAATGCTTTCACAACATAACGCTCACATATTAATATTCTTTAATATTAGTTAATCGCATTGTTATTTTTCTTTCTATCTTTCTTTCTTTCTTTCTTTCTTACTTTTTTCAATCTTTCTTTCTTTCTTTCTTTCTTTCTTTCTTTCTTTCTTTCTTTCTTTCTTTCTTTCTTTCTTTCTTTCTTTCTTTCTTTCTTTCTTTCTTTCTTTCTTCTTCTTCTTCTTCTTCTTCTTCTTCTTCTTCTTCTTCTTCTTCTTCTTCTTCTTCTTCTTCTCTTCTTCTTCTTTTTCTTCTTCTTCTACTTCTCTTTCTTCTTATTTTTCTTCTTCTTCTTCTTCTTCTTCTTCTTCTTCTTCTTCTTCTTCTTCTTCTTCTTCTTCTTCTTCTTCTTCTTCTTCTTCTTCTTCTTCTTCTTCTTCTTCGTCTTCTTCCTCCTCCTCCTTCTGTTCGCCAATACAGGTCCACTACCTTCTGAATTTAACCCAGACAGCCACCGTCCACTTTGGTGATTGACGTTCAACCCCACGCGAGCGATTAACACTCGATGATACAAAGTGCCACTTTTCGGATGAGAATCCTGGATGGACAAACCAAGAAAACCCCATTCACCCGGTAGGGTATATTAGGGTCCCCGATGACCGCAGGGTTGTGGCTTTAAAGTAAAAAAAAATAACGCCCACTTTTAAAACAGTGATTTACCCAAAAGTGCAGACCAAACATTCAAATATGTGTAATGAAAAGGGGTTTAAAGTAAAGAAGATATCTTTCATTCCACCAGGTTTTACTCCATGCAGCTCATGTTTGTTTCTTAGTATAACAGCTAGTCACCTGTCGAACGCGTTGCAGAAAGCAAGACTCCGTAGCTCCAGCGTCTAAATCTCTTGTGAACAGAACGACTCTTCCCTGTAAAATGAACTTTAGACACTTAGATAGATTTGTTAAGGGACTAAACCAGTAACTAGTTAGAAATCTCTCTAGAGTTATTCCCCATCAATTAAAAAAATAAAAACGCACAAATGCTCCACAGCAAGTTCAATGATGCATGCACGGTGCGGCCTACGTGCCTAGTTTATAATATTAGCAAGAACCGCAAGAAACTGTTGAGACTATTACCATCGCAGGTAAATACGTTTATAAGAACTTGTTTTTCCGTTCGGGTGTGTCGGCCGAGCGGTTACAACGTTGTCCTCGACCCCTGATATCAAGAAAAGATATAAATCCAAACGAAAAGTATATTGGTAAGCTTCACAATATAATAATTACAAATAAAACGTGAAAGTTGCGGCTATTGAGCCTTCATCAGCACATACAAATTAAACAATACTACATGAAAAAAGGTGAATAATAAACATATTGAATAATAAAGTGTATTAAAAGTATATTTAAAAAAATTTATAAATAAAAAATAAAAAATAATGGACAATATGGACGAGAAAGATGATGGAGTCTTTCTGTCGGCGGCAAAATTAAATATCCTAACCTGCTTAGTCCTTGGCGACAGTACTAGCCAGACGGCCCTAAATCCTTAGGCGGTCCTATTCACGTTTCCCGGCCCATCTTTTACACTGGCTTACCTTTCATCCAAACTCGGGGGGGGGGGGGAGGGGGTGTCAAGTCGTCTTGCCTCCAGTGACATCATGCAGAAAGGGGTTTGTCCCTGGATTGTGAGGTGGATAGCAGCTGTCCTGCCCTTCGCCTGGGTACATGAACCTTAGAAGCATGTAATATCGCCCCGGTACTACCCCAGAGTTCTGCAATTTCACTAGTGCTCTTCAATGTGTATACAAGCAAGATTGCAGAACTTGAAGCACTAGGTGTTGGAAGGATATTGACATTTGCTGATGATGTTCTTGCATATAGGCAGGAAAGTAATAGGCAACGGATAGCCCAAGAGCTTTACAGGCAACTGTAGACAAAGTGACTGACTGGTGTGCAGAAATGGGTGCTGTCATGAACTCAGGAAAGGCGGCTGTTTTGTGGTGCTCTCTGGACAATAGAATTATAAAAGCTAATGTTACAAGCCTCACAATTAATAACAATAACATCAAAAGAGAAAGCAAATGGAGGTAACTGGGTATCACTTTTGATAGAAGCCTGTTATATAGGGATCACATGGAGGTAGTTGTGATGAAATGCTAAAAAGGACACCAATGCTCTCAAGATTATGGCAACAATGGACATGGAACAAAGAATGCTGTTCCCAATGTTTCAGCATGTAATCCTGTCGGTGGTAGATTATGGACTTAGAATGCTTACCATTACAGTCAGCTGATGAAACTTGAACACATACAGAATAAAGCCATGTGGGTAATCCTGGAATGTACAAGAGATACCCTGGTAGTATGTAAACGATATATACTTTTACTGCCTACTGTTGCAGACAGGCTCAAAGTTCTGCAAGCAAAGTCATATCTCTGTGTAGCTGCAGACAAGAAACACCTTTTGCATGATGCCGTGGGTAGAGCTTAGGGTCACAGACTGAACAGAGGAAGGTCTTGGATGGTGCTAGCTAAAGACACAATCAGACATGTTTGTAGGCGGGATAATTGTGCGAGGGGAGGAGTGGGTCAAAGTGTCCGAGCAAGTTTCAGACTTGTGCAGTATTCTTATCACTTTGGGTCGTGAGTGCAGGGACTGGCCAGCTGGCGCTGCAGAATCAGAAGTTCAACAACTGGTTCATGACAATTCCTGGATAAACAGTCTTACTAGATAATACAAACAAGGTGAATTAGATTATGTACATGCAAATTAGAGAGCCATTACTTTAATAATATGAAAAGGAGAAATTATATAAATGTGAATAACATGTACTATATTAAACAGATTGGAAATAAATGATGACTTGATTCAACAATAGACATCACAGCCCTCGGAGCAGTCCCATAAAGATCCATCCCCATCTTCAGCGGCCAACGCAGAATTCTAACACAAATAGTGCGAGTAGCATTCTGATTATACGTCCGTCTAGCCTTTCATCTGAGCGTCGAGTATCGGCCAGAACCCATCGCCACTTCCCTCTGCATCACTCTCATCAGACTGTGGTGATCCATTTGCTCCTCCGAATTGTACATGTTCTCCGACAAGACCCTAACCACGTCTTCCTTATCATGCCTCAATATTCCATTTTGTACAGAACCAGCCAGTCTGTCAGCTTGTTCACCCCCCCCCCCCCCCAAAAAAAAAAAATGATACAATGTACAAGTGAGTTGACAACAGGGTCTATAATACCTGCACAAACACATAAAAGCGGAGCTAGAACATACAACCGAGGGCTACAGATTTAAAGTGGAAAAGAAGGCTGCAGTGTTCAAGTGACCAGTTTAAAGGTTTTGAAGAACGGGTCAACATCATGGCACACGGTAAGTAACCCATAAGTGCTCCGTTCTTCTTCTAACTAAAGTCTGAGTCAGAAGAAGCTCAGCACCGTGCACAGGCTCTGTAGCACCGGCGAGGATCCTGAAATACTTTGGGTAGATTTTAAACTCCAAATTTTGCTTGGGCATTGCCTTTAGGCTGCTCTTTTCGATTTTAAACTGCCAAGGGATTTTTTTTTAACATGCGCAACAATACACACGGGCGTCCGATCACACTACCCAGCGACCTGGGGGCGGGGATAAAAGTCAAAGTCCACAAAGATAAATCCTAGCTCATACCGGGGATTGAACCCGAAACTTTAGCACTCGAGGCGGACACCATGCTTTAAGACCACGCAGCCCCCTGAATATAGAAGTGAAAAATAAGAATGTACTGTTCAAGTGAACAGATAATATGGATAACAGATAGTATATAATCATCATCAGTTCTCTTTATGCCCAGTGGCATCTGAGGCTTCAAAGCGGACTTTCCACGCTTTCCTGTCCTGTGCAATCTTCAGAGCAGTTTTTCGTGTTAGAGATGCCGACTCAGGTCACTTTCCATCGTTCGTCTCCATGTTTTTTTTTTCTTTTGACGCCCCTTTTTTGTCTCTTTCCAGATAGTATAATAATAAAATATAAATATAAAATATAATATACATATAATTTAATAACAGATAATATGACAAATATAGAAAAGAATGCGATGGCATATAAAAGTGGAAAAGAGTAGTAATGTACAGCGGCAAATAAATTACAAATATAGAAAAGAATGAAGTGGAATATACAAGCGGAAAAGAGAAAATTAGTGTAAAACAGAACTCAAAATACAAATACAGAAACGAACGACCTAGAAAAGTGCACGAATAACAAGACCTATACAAATAAAAATACAAATATAGAAAAGAAAGAACTAGAATATAAAAGCGGAAAAGAGGGCCATTCTATTAAAGTGTACAACAGGACCCCATAAAACAAATATAGAAAAGATTGAATTATAATACAAAAACGGAATAGAGGGGCCACAATATGAAAGTGGAAACGCGGAGCTGAAATATAAAAGTGCTTGGTTGAACATTGACGTCATCGCCGTGACCTGGTGGGATTCAAAACATGACCTACTACCCCGAGCACGGGCCACAACGAGGCTCTACATGCGCAACGAAAGGGGGGTAAAAACAAAATGGCGACCGACAGGGCTGGTGGCAAAGAGAAGGCAGGAATAGGCCCCGTAAGAGTTGGATATTATGAAATGGAGCGTACAATTGGGAAAGGAAATTTCGCGGTTGTAAAGCTAGCTACACATGTGGCCACCAAAACGAAGGTTTGTATGTTTTAACCGGTTTTTTCAAAGTGAGGATTGTTTATCTTGAAGTGAAGATATGGGAGGTTAGGTTCAGTGCGAGTTGTCGTTCGTTTTGTCCTAACGGTTATTTCTGCTAACTCTTTCTGGTGTCGCCTGTCGTGAAATTTCCTCAATTTTATCGACGTAAATGCGCAGAAAGTTGTAACAGTTAAAGAGGGGAGATATCTGATAACGAATTTTGTAGTTAATAAAATTACTGTTGGTCTTGTAGTGGTAGTGATAATGATGTTATCGGGGAAAATTGTCAAGTGCAAAAGCTTGATGGACAATGGCATGATGACATTCAAAACGACACTAGTACTAGCTAGTCACTGCAATGACAAAACACGGTGACAGTTAACCTGGTGTAGTTTTATATGGTGGGTGTTGTACAATTTGCTAATACAGAGCAGCATAGAAGGGTCATTGAAATTATGAATGTATATAGTCACACCCACTTTGAAAGTGTCTGATATATCCACACACTAAACAGTTTCCTTAGAAACCTGTGAACCTACTCTTTGTACGTTTTTAGAAGATTTAAAAAAAAAAAAAACTTACACTGAACTAGTGTTTAGTTATGTTTCATTGTATCCCTGTATGACTGAAATCCTTTGAAGTGAAAACAAAAGAAATCTGGTAATAGATTTACTAAATCATTTAGGGTGTATTATTCTTAAAAAAAAAAACAACGGATCTTATGTTATTTAACCATATCAGGCTGGCTTCAAGATTTGGTAGGGAAATCCCCAGACCGTCCCATAGTATGAATGTTGGCGGGAAGGGGGGGGGGGGAGGGAAAAGAGGGTAGAGCTAGTGTTAAAAGAATAGCTACTAACCCTAACACACGTATACTATAGCAAGGTCTAGGGAAACAAAACAAATAACTGTATTGTTTGTGTCCGCATTATTTAAATTCATTACGGGAAAACATTGTTGTGAATAGATAAATAAAATGGGGAAGACAGAGAAAGCTGAAAAAAAAGAAGAAGATGAAAGTCAGAAAACAGAACTGAAAATCGTATGCAATTGAAAATTGGGCTATCCTTCGAATAACGGTCGGTAAAGATGGCGGCCGCAAAATATCCTTTCGAGCCACAGTCACGTGTCAATTGCGCACTTCCTGCGACTTAATTTGCGGTTCTCCTGCGGTTTTCCGGCAACTACCGCCACTGCCACGAGTACCCCACGCCGCGAAAGCATCTCCTGAAGCTTTGCGCGTGAGTCCTAGCCATCTTGTTTAGCCCCAGTCCACGCCGCATTAGCGGCATAGGGGACTTGTGGCAGTGGTGGTAGTAGCCGGAGAACCGCAAATTAGGTCACGTGACTGGTTTGAAAGCATAATTTGCGGCTGCCATCTTTACCGACCGTTATTCGGAGGATAGCCGAAAATTGCTTAGACTACAACTTGGATGGACTTGCTTCACTACACTTATTTATGTCTGAAGTGTAAAAGGACATAAAGGAATATTTGAAACAGTAATACACATTATATAATCATCTTAAATATATAATTACGCAAAAGATTTCACAATATTTAGAATAACAAATGTCTGAGAACTTGATGAATATTTTATATCTGCCTCCATATTATCTCTCCACCATCTTCTTGGTCTGCCTTGTAGTCTACAACCATTCAGTTACCTTGTGTACAGTTTGTGCCTCTGAAATCTGCCATTCTCTCTCTATTCACGGGGGGGGGGGGGGGGGGGGGTATAAGGATCATCTATATCAGAGGTTCTCAACATTTCTAACGCTACAACCCTTCAATACAATTCTTCATGTTGTGGCAACCCTTTAATACATTTCCTCATGTTGTGGTGACCCCCCAGCCATACAATTATTTTCGTAGCTACTTCATAACTTCAATGACTATTTGTTTTGCGATGGACTTTGGCGACCCCTGTGAAAGGGTCGTTCATTCCACATAAAAAAAAGGGTTGAGAACCGCTGATATATGTGGTCTTTCTGGTTTTTTTTTTAACCTTGCTACCTCGAGGATAACCTCATTGACCTCGCTACCTTTTATCTTCAGGTTATTAATCATCTGTGAATGCATTCTTTGTTTGTGTGTGATAGACTCGCTAATTACTACTTTCGGAAAATGGGCAACATTTCTTTGTTGACCTCGCTACTTTTTTTGGGTCTTCATGTTATTATTATTTATGAATGCAGGAAAACTTAATCACAGTATAATTACATAATCACCATTAGTGCTCACACAGATACCTCTGTCTGTATGTCTGTCTCTCGCTCCATCTGTGTTTCTGTAGATGTGTTTGATACAGTTACCAATTGCTGCCTTCAGAATATGGATGACCCCCCTATATGTTGACCGCCCTTCTCTTATCACATTGATGATGGGACTGATCCCACTGTTGGTTACATTTTCTGAACAGTATCATAAATTAAAGAAAACAATCTCGGCTTTTGAATTTAAATGTTACGGGTATGTTCTTAGAGAATCATGGGCCAAGACGAGGACAAATACAGGCATTCTCCATGATCTGAACATAGAATAGGATTGTCTCATAAACTGTATAGTTTCTTATGAACTTGAATACTTTGTCCATATTAGACACTATATTGGTATAGAAAGAACAGAATTAGAGGATATGGTTCCTGAAGGAAGAGGCAGGGCACGACCAGAACATAATGGATACAGGATATCAGGAAATCATCATTGCTGAGTTGTGCCATTACATGTCACATATGGCTCACAGTCTCCATTCCTATCTTTCCTGTGCAATCACTTTGATATCATAGATGGTATCCAGTTCAACACCTGTGGTCTTTCATATATCTCTGCCATTGCCAGGCCTAAGCCTGGATGAGAAAGGAGGAGTGTTAGGCCATCTCCCCCACTTTGTAAACATTGGGGTAAGGGGGTAGAAACTTGGAGGAAAGGATACTATATTGAGGACATCCTGGGTATAAAAATTGATTCATCGGAAATGTTGGCAGGGGATTGAGTGGCTTTCAAATGTGTCATGATTAGAGCTAAGATTTCGCAAGGGACCTGCTTTATGATGATGATGATGATCAGTAAGATTTTTCTGAGGCATGGAGGTCCACTGAAGACCCAAGATTGCAAGATCCAGGTCCAGAGGAAAAGAGATAGTCTAGAAAAGATCTGGGTTCTTTCATAATTTCCTACTCCAGATGTCATCAAATGATAGTCCAATATTTTAGAGGGTGGCAAGACTGGGCTTCCCGCCTTTCTTATGCTTTTAACAACCCTAAAACATCTAGAAGTGGCCCTAAACCCAACCCTCCTGCGGCCCACAACTGTATGCAGCCTATCTACCACCCCCTGAAATATTAGACTGTCCCGTGACTTGAGGATTTTCCCTGTTTGAGGTAAGATATTAAGAAGGCACCAAGAACTGTATCACATTCAGTGTGCAAGAATATTAGAGTACAGATCTAAGCTGAAAAGTTTACAAGGATGGAAAACATTTGGGGTACATGATCAGACAGCTTGGTGTCATTATTCAGACTGACTGATGTAACAAATGGAAATCTCCTGAAATCACAGTGACCCATATAGTTACTCAACACACAACTGCTCAGAACACAGCTGCTAAGCACACTACCACTGCAGCGACTCAGCACAGCTACTCCCCACACTCAGCTACTGAGCATGTAGCTACACGACAAGCAGCTACTTAACACACAGCAACTCACATTTAGTTACTACAACACACCTCTCCTCAACTCACAGCTTCTCACTACACAGTAACTTGTACACAACTTCCCCGTTTGGGTGCGGAGTCCCATTCTGGAGAAAAAACAAACAAGAATAAACCCACTCTCTCCCCAACAAGCATGTCGTCAGAGTAGACTAATTGGGAGCTTCCTTTGAAGTGGGTGTGCGTCTGTTCGAGCGGCAAGGAACAAGCAAATGCACACAAGTAAGTCAGTAAAACAGATGTACATGTAAAACTCAGGCTCTGACACAAAGACAAAGTCCAAATGGACAAATAACAAGGACTTTCTACCAGAGCTTACAACCGGTAAACAAATAAGAAAGAAGAAGAAGCAAGTACACAACTACTCAACAAATACCTATTCAACTCACAGCTATTCAGCACACAGATACTTAATATGCAGCTACTCAACGCTCAGCTACACATCCCAACCTACCCAACACACAGCCACTCAGTGCTCAGACTGTGTAATGTGTTATCTGGGAAACATGCGTGTATTATGCATTCCCACTTATGCACACTAAACAAATACTCCCACACATATTTGTTGATGGGTGCAGCAACACAATGGCCACTGTTAGCTTTCAGTAACTATTTGTTCTGCAAATATATTCTTTCAAGTTTCTCTTGAAGTTTTTAAGATGTTTGCTAAGTTGTTAATTAAAGCAGCTATGTGGCTTTAAAGGTTAATGGCATGTATCACATATACTTGATTAGCCAGATGTTTTCCATTTATACCTTCCAGGTCCCATTGGTGGGGAGAGTGGGGGAGGCACAGAAACAGAATAGATCTACTGCACCTCCCCCCCCCCCCCCCCATACCCACTCTCCCAATTAAACAAGCCTGCAATAAAAGTTGATTAATTAGGGGTGTTTGTTTTGAAGTCCGAGTGTGTCTGCCTGAGGTGATAAACTAACAGTCTGCATACAGATAAACCAGATCTGTTAAACAGTGTGCCTGCAAAACTCAAGCTCTGGAACAATACTAAAGTCATAAACTTTCTGCCAGAGTTTAGCAGCCGATTAACACCAAGAAGGGAAAAAAAACGAACTTATGTCATGAACGGCTTTTAAAAAGGTTTTTGTGGCTTTTAGACAGAGGTTCTAGAGTCACACTGGAACACGACTCGCCGTCACAATGTCATATTTCCAAACCTCCAGTGAGGAGATGCCACAAGTAAAATAAGTGGTTATCATCATGATGTAGCAGGTCCTGTACATAATATTGCTGCTATAATGGCTTGCTGGAAAGCCTTATGGTCCTTTTTGACAATTCCGCTGCCTGGAGTATTCTCATGCCCAAGGTGTCTTCGGTACACTGTGACCCCCCTTCCTTCATTCATACTGGTTGACTCCTGTGTGGTGAAAACAGGGCTGCCTGCAGTCAAGCTTGTTCAAATTAATTCTTCTGTTTCTTATAGTGCAGGCTGTTTGGCATTGGTAGTCGTGTCAGTTCACAACCTTCTGTCTCCTGTATTTTCCATCAGTTCTGATACAGATTCTCTTTCATGCTCTTTTGTCAGACTATCCAGCATCTCCTCTCTCTCGGTCTCCCTTCACCTCTTTTTTTGTCTAATTCACTGTTCACATACTTGATTAACCAGATGTTTTCCATGTATACCTCCCTGTGTAGGTTCATGTGTCCCATTGTGGGACATACTCCAGTTTTCTTTTTCTCATGATATCACCACAGAATGTAGATTGTTTCAAAGTGGACAATCAGTTCTTTTCATGAGTCACTTTCTTTCAAGATATCTTCATTGCTTATTTGATCTGTCTAGTGTATTCTCATAATTCGTCTATAAAAATAATGTCTCCATCACTCCTAAAAATGTTTCACAAATCATCCACCTGTCTATGATTAATTTCCATACATCAGGATAAGAGTTATTTAGCTTTTGACAGTTCTCTTTATCACCACAATTGACAAATAAAGATTGCATAGAATATTCTGAACAACTCACAAACTCAAACACATTGGGCCAGCTCATCACAGTTACACACTACGCAACTTTTCATTCATACTTGGTCAGCCCAGTCAACTTATATCAAGGTTAGAAGGGTGTGCCAGTGAACTTCTGTATTCACACATCTTTCTGTGTTACGTGTTAATGCTTATTCTGGTAGTAGCAGCCGCTGAAATTGCTTACTTACTCGTATGCAGTATTAGTGTTTGCATCGGAAATGAGTTTATTAGAGAGGGTAGCGTTGCGTGTTTGCAGCAACACAGTGTTGTGTGGGCCACCGCAAAATGTTATAGTCTGAAACCACGGCACGTAGAATGCACTGTTTCGTTGTACCTAAATTCAGTGTTTTGTGAAGTGGGAAAGTGGGTTTGGGGTTAGAGCCAGTTGTACATTTTATTGGGTTGTTAAAGGCGCACAGATCCTCTAATATAGAGCGCGAGTAGGAGCATCGACCGAGCTGTCACCCTTGCCACTTACACTTGCGCATCTGAAAGGTTAAGGCGGAGACTGAACAGTGTCCTGGCCGGACTCCGTCAATCCTAAATTTGTAGATGGGCCGAGATTGGCCCGAGTTTGTGAGTTGTACTGAATATTCTTTGTAAATGAATTAGCTGACACTACAAATGACTTGGAAGTTCGGGAAAAGAGTAGGGGTGGGGGATGGGCATTACTCACAGGAACAGTCAGATGTTGTGGCCGAAGAGTGTCTGGACATTATGCACAATAAGAAGATGCGTAACCCCCTGGACACTGGCACCAACATTCATATGACTCTCCCTTGGGGGAGGGGTCTGGCATCCATGGTTACTCATCTGCTTGTTGTGCCTCTTGCAGATAGTCTTTGACCAAAACGTCTGTGTGTGTTTTTCTTTCCACCGCATTGATTTTCCTAGTCATAGGTTGTTGTAAGCATTTAACTTGTTGACACGTGCGTCACCCTCCAGTGACCATTCCTCCAGCTTTTGTTCCTTTCACCTAAAGAAGCCACACAAAAAAAACAAAAAACAACGGACACTTCCACTGGATCCTATTCTGCTTAAATGTCACTTTCTGGGCTTGTCAAGTTTGAGCCTGCTCAAACATTTAGGAGGCCAGGATATCAATACATTATCTAACCCTAGCATTTATGGGGGTTCATTCATTCATTCAGTAGCATGTCCCTCGCGGAACCTCGCTGCCATAACAACCCTCCGGAAAACCTTCCTATCCTGAGCAAGATGTCCTGCGTCTGATACACCCATCTGGAGATCATCTGCCACATCCTGCACCCATCTTCTCCTTGGCCTTCCTCTTCCTCTCTTCCCAGGCATATACCCCTCCATTATTGTTCTCTCCAGACTTCCATGACATTTCAAGTGACCAAAATATTTCAATTTTCTTTGTTTTATTGTTTATGGGGGTTAGGGTCCTTTAAACTATTTTTTCCCCATCAGCCTCAATGATTGAGGTCACTGCAAGAGTCACCTGATGCATGTGTGGTTTATTTTAGGTCCAGAGTGGACATATTTTCTTGAAAGTTTCACCCTGTCACCCTGTTAGTGTTGAGTTATAACTCCTTTCATATATTTATATGTTAAAAAAAAAGAAAATTACAAATTTAAATAAATAAATTTGTAATGAATTTATTAAATACCTGTGTAAAACTGTTTTTGATTTTAAAGATTTTTCTCTGGAATTCTAACAGTGTCATGCCCTTTTTTTTATAGTGTTTCTGGGATGAAAGGGTTAGACCACTGTTGCTTTAAATATGGGGAGAGTGTTTAAACTTCTATGGCTGGTGTTGTTTGAGAGCTGGTCCTCCTTGGTGATCAGATCCTGTGGAACACTTTCCATTGATTTTGAGTGTTGTGCTCTTCTTCAGAAAGGGGTGCCGCTGTGGTGTAGCGGCTGGATGCGCGCCCGCAGATCAGTGGGTCATGGGTTCATTTTTTTCTTAAAAAATGACCTTGGCTTCCAGGTCGACTAAGCCTTAAATGGGTACCATGTAAAGTTGTGGGAAGTAAAGGTGGCCGGCATGGGGCTGATCACTTCACCTACTGAGGGCTAATTGGTCTATAAAATAGAGGTCTTGCCCTATATGCCCAAAGGCGTATAAAAGGGTTTTTTACTTTGCGGTTCAGAAAGTAGTAGCAAACTACTCTGTGTAAAATTGTATAGTTAAACCACACAGCAAGTAAGTACTTGGCTTAGTCTGCAGAATCTTGACTGGTTTGAGACTGTTTTTAATTGTTAATGTTTCATGTCAGTTTTTTTCCCTTCTTATTTGTTTGTTTTGCAGTTGATAATTGTATTTTTCCTCTCATTTCAGGTCGCCATAAAAATTGTTGACAAGACACAGTTAGACGAAGACAACTTGAAGAAAATCTATAGGGAAATTGAAATTATGAAGTTATTGCGGCATCCTCACATTATTAGGCTTTATCAGGTAAGGTCGTAAGTCTAATACCAGGCCTAGATTATTTATTAAACTCTTGAATGTCAAATCACTAAATGTGACATTTGCCTAGAAAAACCACAACCGGCAAAAATTGCTGGGGGTTGGTTCTACAAGGTCCTGTAAAGGATACGCAACTAACTAATGACAGATAGTTGCATGACATGGGAGTAAAGGTCGTCTGTGCTGCCTTGGAGGCAGAGATAGGAGACATTAAAACCAGCCTCTCATGGGAACAGTTAGTAGAAATGCCTTGGAGTTGTTTCTGCGTCGGAGGACTGAGTATGCATGGGAATGCCCAATGTGCAGGGACGTAGATTGTGATAACATAACTTATGTCAGATCATCTGCATAGAGAACAACTAAGTGTTAGAAGCGTTCATTTAAAACCAGTTTGAGCCATGTAATTGTATGCGTTGAACATGCTCATGTTCATGTGATAGGTACTCATAGAAGAATAAAGGCAGTGTTCAGTTAAAGTGTGTGTAAGAGTGTGTGTGAATGTTTGATTCTATCCCAATATCTCCCCCTAATCAGACAGTAGAATATTTTAGGGGGTGGTATATAGGGTGCATGCCGTCGTGGGATCTAGGCTGTGACGTAGATGGGTTAGGTTTAGGTCCAGTTCTAGATGTTTTGGAATAATTAAGAGCATTAGAAAGCTGGGGAAACCCTCTCATACCATCCTCGAAAATATTGGACTGTCTTGTGACGTCATCCTGGGGGGAGATTTTGGGAAAGCACCGAATGTTTTACAAAAGAAAGAAGTTTGCGACAGATTCTCCATTGCCGGGTCAGCTCATATTGTTGCAATAGAAAAGAAAGGAAAAACACTGCCAAAATCGATGCAGCAGTTCAGGTGAACCATTGTTGAAGCATTAGTTAGCTCATGCGGCGTGGATTGGGGCTAAACTAGATGGCTGCGACTTACGAGCAAATAAAATGAAGGAAGCTGCAGTAGCTGCTGCTTGTGAGTCCCAGCCATCTAGTTTAGCCCCAATCCACGCAGCGTGGGAGATACTCTCGCCGGTGGCAGAAATCGTCGGTAGTGCTCAATTTAAGTCGCCGGAAGTTCGCAATTGACACGTGACTGAGGCTCTGTTAGGATATATTGTCCGCCCCGATAATTTGGGACCATTATTCGGAAGATAGCCCAAAAATCTGTTAGAAGCTGCAATACCAGAGGGTGTTCACAGTGGACATCACTGATGTTGACCGGCTATCACAAGAAGGAATGCATGGCATGGTGTTGCTGCATCAGTGTTAGATGGATTTTGGATCAGCCTGGCCACTTTCTCGGTGGTCAGAAACAGAACCTATGCCTCTTGGGATGGTAAGCACATGCTCTTTCAATCATCGGTCAGTATTTATTACATGACTCTGGCAGGATCATGGTATGACAGAATCACGAATGCAGAGTTTAAGTCCAGAAACAAATTACGGTGAATCAGGAGACTAGGAAAAGAAGCTGGCACTAAATAGGACACGCTGAGAACATCTGGTAATAGTTTAACAGAATGTGTATGCATTGGTATCCACAAAGAGAAAAACATTAAAAGAGATGTAAAAAAAAAAAAATTAACAGAGGATGATAAGAGATATTTGTGTGTTTTTGTATATTTAAAAACAGTGTTTGTCAGCGTTTTGTTGCTGAAGACACAACAGAGATCACACTCAATTTCAAGCTGGAAGCACTGTTTTGTTTTTATGACAGTTAATTTTTTATTTATAATTAAAGTGAAAATTTTAGTACAGCATATTTGTACATTCAAATTAAAAAAAATTCTCTCCCCCCCCTCTCATCCTTTTTGAAACTTTCTAGCACTTACCCCCCATCCTTTTCAAACTTTCGTGCACCCCCACCCCAACCTTTTCAAAATTTCTTGCACCCCACCTCTATCCTTTTTCAACTTTCTGGCACCCCCACCCCCCCATCCTTTTCAAACCTCCTTGCACCCCCACTCCCCCATCCTTTTCTAAACTTTCTTGCACCCCCATCTTTTTCCAAATTTTCTTGCACCCCCCCCCCCCCCATCCTTTTCTAAACTTTCTTGCACCCCCCCCTACCCCCTAGATTGACAGTCACTGATTTAAGAAGACCTCGGATATGATAATGTTGTGCATTGTTTTAAAGATTGTTTAAAAATGTTTATTATTTGCCTACTTCAGGTTATGCAGTCAGAAAGGATGTTATATTTAGTAATGGAGTATGCAAGCGGTGGAGAGATTTTTGGTGAGTACTTCCTGTTTTATTTGTTCGCTGTCTGTTCTTGTTTTTGTGTGCTGCCTAACCGAGGCTGAACTATCCGTGATTTATCATAGAGCAAAGGTTCTCAAACTGGGTGTCGCGGTGCCGCAAGCGTATGCCAGGGCAGTAATCAAGAAAATTTTACTAGTTCCCTAAAGCTGTACTAAAGTACAACTAGTTCTTTAAGAGCTGTATTAAAGTATAACTAGTTACTTAGAGCTGTAGTAAAGTATAACTAGTTCCTTAGAGCTGTAGTATAGTATCCACCAGTAGTTGCTGTTAGCTGTAGTAAAGTTACCTCAGCTAGTTCCTAAGAGCTGCAGTAAAGTATCCGCCAGTAGTTTCTAACAGCTGTAGTAACCTCTGCTAGTTCTGAAGAACTACTGTAATGAACCCACCATTAGTTTCTGACAGCTTCAATAAAGTAACCTCTACTAGTTCAAAAAAAGCTGTAGTAAAGAATCCACTACAAATTCCTAAGAACTACAGTAAGATATTCACCACTAGTTCCCAAATATTGTGGACTCATATAAAAAAATAACTAGACAAAAATGTGAGAATTTGTGAAGGGCTGCTGCAAAGTAGACATAAATGAATGCCGGATGAAATAATAATAATATTCAGCTACTACTACTAATGCGCCGTCTGTGGCTTTGTTGTTGTGAGTCCGACTCGTCATTCCAACGTACCGCGATCGAAACCCACAGCTGGCTGCGTGGATTTTTATCATGGTTTTGGGGCGTCGCAGATCGACCCAGCCTTAAATAGGTACCAGGATGGCTGTCCTGGGGAAGTAAAGACGGCCGGCGCAATGCTGACCACATTACCCACCTAGTTCCGACTGGTCTTTAAAAATATGGGTGCTTTTCCCATATGCCCGATGCGCCTAAAGGCGTGAACATGTATCTTTACTTACTACTACTACTAAAAAAAATAATGATAGAAAAGTGGACGGAAGAAAGTGCCTTAACTCTTTCAGTACCAGTCAACTGAGCATATGTTTATTTGTTATTTAAAAGACGCCATAGTGTTGTTGCTGACTTTCATCACAGACTGGTGTTTTGAAATTAACCCTTCATATTTGAATGATTCGTTGTACTGCTAATGTGTCTGTGTTGAACGCGTTCAGACCAGAGCCGAGCCGTCTTAACAGCATTAAGGACCCCTGGACAAACAGTGTGCTGGGGTCCCTTTGACAACCATTCACATGAATTAAATGTAATTGGTCGGTAATATTAAACATATACACATATTAGCATAGGACCCTTTTGCTCGTGGAGTTTCCAGGCAGGTGCCCAGCTGTCCCACGGCCCTGGTTTAGACCCTAGTTTTTAATTGCTGTTAGGCTCAACTTCTTGGCATGCAAGAGGTTGAAGAAACAATTGCTCTGGATCAGAAGAGTTAATTCTGCTTGAATAGAGGGTACTCCTACCCCACTATCCCTGATTTCGTGACTCTAGTAGTCGTGTAAGATAGCGAATCATGGCCGTTGGCCGTCTGCGCTTATCGGCAGGGCAGATGATGATGATGTGAGTTGCCTGACATAGCCAGGTCAAGAATACTGACCTTATCCGACACTTGCGACCCAGAGAACATGACCTAGCGATTTACTGTACATGTTCCCAGTCTTCTCTTATCTGCAACAGTTTCTTCCACCGTCGACTGTTTCCTCGTCGTTCTCTCATACCCTGTGATTATAATTGAATCCGCAAGACGATATGTATCACGCTGGGAGTGGTATGTGTCCAGGAATCGGGACACAGCGTGACGAACGTCTGTCTGTCTTGTCTAGGCAGGTTTGTGCTAGCGGATCGCACAAAGTATGTGATATGACGGAGGCCGGTATGAGATCCGCTAGCACATGTGTGACTGACTGTAGGGGTGTTCAAACCTTTACACTCCAAGACATTGGAGGCGACCTGTTGTCTTTCTGGTGCCAATTCCTTTCTTCAATTCACCCCCCCCCCTTTCCTCCCAAATGTGGAAATGTATAGGCCCCCCCCCCCCCCCCTCGATTTACGACCGATGAGTTTCGATCCGACAAACAGGTCGTAAGTTGAATTTATAGTTTTTAACACTACTTTTATTCAAATGGGTTATACAGATTGTAAATAAAACAAACACAATTCTATCCGTATACTTATAATTATTGTACATAATTCGAAAAAAAAACATAATATATATTTCGTTATACGTACTGTAGACAGACTTCAGTTACCGATCTGTGTGGTCGTAAAATGCCGATGGTCGTAAGTCGCATAGTTGGTAAGTCCCGGCGGAGATGTGTATACACAAGTTGGCTTATTAAAGATTAGTAAAATTGTTTCACAGTTCAGTGCTTGATGAACCAGGGTTAGATTTCCACGGCAGGTGGTTTTGTTTGTTTGTGTTCACCGGCTGTAAACCCCGGCGGAAAGACCTGGTTGTTCGTCCATTTCTGGACTTTGGCTTTGTTCCAGGACCTGAATTTTGCATGTGCACCCATTTGACAGATCTTGCTTATTTGTATGCAGACTGTTGGTTCCTTATCTCTCAGGCAGATGCTCTCTGACTTTAAGGTAAAACACCCAGTTGGTCGACTCTTACGACATGCTTGTTGGGGAGGCAGTGGTCTCTTCTTGTTTTCCCAATAATGGGACCCCGGAACCCACACGAGAAACAGGTTGTTTAGAGAAAAAAAACCCGTTGTCAAGGACAGAACCACAAAGAGTCGCATCCTGGATGAGATTATGACGTCACTAAGTGTCGTTCCTAAAGATGACCTGAAGGTACTGCAGGCTTTCGCTAATGTGAAGGCATCACTTTCTTTCATTTTTTTAGGGCTGTGCATTTTGAATTGAGAATCAACATCACAGCACCCGGGACACTTCCACAGGCGCTCCGTTCTTATCTTCAGCAGCAAGCGAAGAGTCCCAATTCCAGTGGGACCAGTAACTGTCTGATTTTATATCCGTCTCGCCTTTCACTTGAATGTTGAGCGTCGGCCAGACCCCTTGATAACTACGCGTAGCGCCATTCTCCTCAGACCGTAATGATCCCTTCTCACTGTTCATCCGCTTCCAAAGGGCCATCACAACATCTAGCTTGTCATACATCAATTCACCACCAAGTGACGCAGAACCAGCCAATATATCTGCCTGCGAGGGGGTGAAAACAGTTGTTAGTGGAAAAACTAAGAACAGTAGACACAGCACCGGTGAATTATTTCATAGAACATCAAAGAATTGAATGATTTGGTCATGTGGTCAGAACTGAACAAAATCAGACAGCAGGTAGAGCCTTACTACGTGAGAACAGCAGGCTTCAAGCAAGTCGAGATGCCCACTAAGAAAGACGTGGAGGGAGAGAGTGAGAGAAAAAAAAAAGGCACTACAGAAGCGCAGTTTGATATTAATGTTACGCAACTAACAGAAGACAGGAAACTTTTGTCTAAACTCCTCTCTGCGATTCTTTAAGGTATAAGCGGTTGGACACAAGAATAAGACGGAGTTGCGGCGGGAGTGTGATTCAGAATTCGGGGCTGTACAGCTAAACTATGGTCGGCTCTGTGGCTAAGTCGATGTGAACGCTTCACTTCGTAATGCCGGGATGCCAGGTTCGATCCAAACTGCGGGCAATGCGTCTTGCGTTGGTTTCGACGGTGGTATCAAGAAAGCCGACCGTCCAGTGAGCAATGACAAACTACTGGACGTAAATTTGCTTAGAGAGACCACACAACAGCCGGGGGCTGTTAGGGTTGGTTCTGCAACGTCCTGTAAAGGATACGCAACTAACTTTTTTTTTCAAAACAGCTAAACTAGTAGATCAATCAAGTAACATAAAATTTATTGATCGGCACTTATAGAAAGAAGTAGAAAGATAGAAGAACACACTAGACAACATAAAAATCGAAAGCTATTGTTCCCGTGCCGGGAATTGAACCTCTCATCTCCAGACGGCGTGTGCGCCTCGCCATGGATACAGGTGCACTAAGAACACGGTCAACTCGGCACCCCCAAAAAGGTGTCTTATTTGCCATGTCTATCGTACAGCTTGAAACCCACACCTATGGAATACGGGCCGAATTCATTTCAAACCATTGAAATGGCACCATAGGTTACAGAAACTTATATTAACGAATAATATGTCAAATAACGTTCACAGCAACAATTTACGAACACCGTAGACCTTAATGCTTTGTCTAGAATACACACCCATTTAAGAAAGGTATTTGATTGGTAGGTTCCGGTGTGTATACGTCATTACTATAAATAAACAGAGGGGGAACCCTTGAGGCCGTTTAATATTATAGATTAAGTAACATAAAATGTACTGTAGTAGTACAGTCGCCCAGAGCTGTTCAGTGTAGGGTACAGTAGTACAGTCGCCCAGAGCTGTTCAGTGTAGGGTACAGTAGTACAGTCACCCAGAGCTGTTCAGTGTAGGGTACAGTAGTACAGTCGCCCAGAGCTGTTCAGTGTAGGGTACACTAGTACAGTCACCCAGAGCTGTTCAGTGTAGGGTACAGTAGTACAGTCGCCCAGAGCTGTTCAGTGTAGGGTACAGTAGTACAATCGCCCAGAGCTGTTCAGTGTAGGATACAGTAGTACAGTCGCCCAGAGCTGCTCAGTGTAGCATCTTTGCTCCGCCCTAACCGCTCTGCAAGGCCAGGACCGCCTTGACCAGTCGCTCCTCTCATTGTCGCTCTGATTGGGGAAACCCGTCTTACCGCCGCCAAGGATTGAACCTGTCTGCATAGTTTGGTAAGCTTGTGTGCTCACCTGTAAGCCACCAGGACTCATGATCTTAATTTATCATGTAAGATTGATGAAACACATTTCCGGTGTGGGTTTCCAGGTCACATTGTGGGGGCTACACAAGAAAAGACCCACTTATCTACTGCTGCTAAGACTGTGCTTCAAAGAACATGGGAGGAGGAGGACAAAGAAAAACCTGAAATGACAACATCAAGAAATGGACAGAACTAAGTTATCATACCCTAATTC